AAAAATGTTTGATTACAACTGTTACAATTTTAAGAGGAGCCACTGGAATAATAGAAATAGGATATAAAACTTCCATTTTTTTCCAGTTGTGTGAAAAATGGAGAAGTTAATCAGTGACAGAGATTGAATATAAAAGAACAGAAAAAGGTATGTGCTTGGCAAGAAGATGAATCCTGGTATTCAAAGCAAAATCATTAAAGGAGAAAAACAAGGACCTACTATATTGATAAAAGGTTTAATTCAGCAATAAGATATTTGAGGTAAACTTTTGTATACCTAAATAGTCTTGAAATATAAAAAGCAAAAACTTCTATCATAGAAATGCAAGAAGGAGAAACTGATAACTACATAATTAAAGTGAGAGACTAATATACTTCTCTGAAATTGACCAAAGAATCAAAAATAGTAAGAAAACAGAGAAGCTGATAACACAATTCACAGCTGTGAACTCAAAGAGATGGATAAAACTGCATATACAACAGAAGATACATATATCTTTCACACGGAAAATTTACAAAAATTGATCATTTATTAGAAAAATACCCCCTAGTCACAAATGATGAAGAGCAGAAATCAATTATACAGTCCCACAGCTTTGGCAGTAACTGAAAAGGTAATTGAGGACCTGCTCTAAAAAAAGATATGAGACACAAAGCTTTCTGGATCAGTTTTCCAAGGTTTCAAAGAAATTCCTATGTTAAACAAACTCTTTCAGATCATAAAACAGGTGAGAAGCTTGCTAACTGCTTCTACACAAATAGAACGATAAACCTTAACATCAAAACGAGATAGGAAGAACATAAAAGGAAGGAATTCTAATACTAGGAAACCTATTAGGAAATCTATTTTTCATTCAATATTTCATTAACTATTTAATATTCATTAAAATGGTAAAGGAAATAAACCAAACAATTAACTCAGCAGATGCTGAAAAAACATTTGATAAATGCTTAGCCACTACCAAGAAGGAGGTAAACAACAGAACAGCTCCTTGCAAGCTAGGAATGGAACCCAGTTCCAGCCTGGCAGTTACTTTTCTTACCTGCGAGCTGGCAGGTTGACGCCTGCGGCTAGGGTGGATGTGCAGGTGAAAAGACAGAGAACTCCTGCGGAGTAGGCCTCCTCCAAGAGCTTCCTTTCATCACTTGTTAAACCGCTATGGTGATAAGCAACTCCAAACGGGATAGTGTGTTTTAAAACAGGACACAAATTGCCACTGCTCATATTCTTCAAGTCCTTAAGCACCTCACATTTTTCTTTCTCCCTGTGTTTCAGATATTCCCTAGGAGAAAGATCTGTTAGAAATATGAACCCTTGATCTCACAGTGACAAAATGCCTATCATTTTCATTTTAATGGATGTCACGTAAACATTTTTTTTT